AAATTTGTGTGTCTTCAGGTCTGGTGACTGTTGCAGAATTAATTGGTTGCAAAGTTGAGGAGCTAAAGCTGGCATTGTCAACTCGAAAAATGAGAGTTGGCCACGATACTATTATCCAAAAGCTTACTTTATCACAGGTAAGGGAAGGTAATGTGGCCTTCTGCGCCTTTTGGCGAAGACATGCAAGTGATAGTGCCAGTTGGTGGAATAGGGAAAAGTTGTTTCCGTTCAGTGCATTTTCCAGTAATATTCAATGCAATTCGATTAGTTTGTCTTTACGTTCTCAGATAGCTTGCTATAAGTACCCTTTTGAGAGCGTACCACCTCATGCCATGGAAAACCTGTCTGGCAACAGAGGTGGTTGCAGAAGTAACCGAATAATCTTGTGTCATTTGGGTTCACCTGAATTCTCCCTCAACTTCCCTGCTTCCTTTTCTGATCTTGATCCATCCCTGCTTTGATTGATTATTCTATTGACCAACACACCACACAAGCACGGTGTTAGTGCCACCTAAGTTGCTCGAGTGAATTTATTTCGATCAAGGTTCCTTGCTGTCATGGCCCGTGTCTGTGGATTTGCATTAATCACGTGGCACTTGTTGAATTCATCCATTTTTGTACATTTGAGACATGATCTTGATAATTCCTTTCATTTATATATTTCTAACATGCATTGACTCCTTTTTTTCATACTTTCCAGACCACGGATACAAGAGATGCTTTAGCAAAGTCTATTTATGCTTGTCTCTTTGAATGGCTGGTTGAGCAAATTAATAAGTCTCTGGCTGTTGGGAAAAGGAGAACTGGCAGATCCATCAGTATTTTGGATATCTATGGATTTGAATCATTTGAAGTATGTAAAATGATGCTTCTCGTGTGTTTTCCTTTTCATTTTGTCAATGTTCTTCTCATCTATTTTTTGCTTATGCAGAGGAATAGCTTTGAGGAATTCTGCATTAATTATGCCAATGAGAGACTACAACAACACTTCAACCGACATCTATTCAAGTTAGAGCAAGAGGTAGCTATAAGATCTGTGTCATCTTAATTAGGAATGAACATTTGTTGAATGTAGAATATTGGTGCTTGTTGTGATGTGAAATGAATGAGTTGTCTATGAGTTTTCTTTTGGCTAGAACATCTGTTTAAGAGTAACAAAGTGAGATCTTATTAGAAGTTAAATGTAACACAATGAGATCTTGAATGTAGGATTTCCAGCTCCACATATTCTGACAATCCGTAAATAGCACAGCAACTGTACAGATGAAGATTGTCGTGTAACAGGCATAAACACTTTTCTTTAGAAATAATGTGGAAATTCTTAATGCTCACCTCTTGTTGTAAATTATCGTTCTTAGTAGTTACAGATGATGTGCCTTGGCTGGAAGGGATTTTTTCTTGCAGAGTCATCAGTTCAGTTGTCTAAAAGATTGGGTGTGCAGAATTTAAAGGAAATACTAATCCTACTTTATAAAATTGCGCTCCTGTTTCCAGGAATATATCCAAGATGGCATTGATTGGACGAAAGTTGATTTTGAGGATAATAAGGACTGTCTCAATCTTTACGAAAAGGTATGGAAATGGTTACTTGATAATGTTTCAAGTTGGAGACATTCTACAATACCAATGTAGTTATGTGACAGAGGATGGTTGAGTTTACCTTGATAAATTGGTGTGTGGTACATATCTCAAACACCGTGTATGTTTTATGATAATCTCTTCATATTTCCCCTTCTTCATCTGTGGACTTGTTTTCTAGAGTGTCAATAATAGTTGGAAGCTTATGAATAGAGTCTAATGACTTTGCACATGTATACAATTTGAGATGTTGCAATTTGCTCAATTATTGTTTGTTGTTTTGTGTAGAAACCGTTGGGGTTGCTATCATTGTTGGATGAAGAGTCCACTTTCCCAAATGGCACAGATTTGACTTTTGCCAATAAGCTAAAGCAGCATCTGCAATCTAATTCCTGTTTCAGAGGAGACAGGGGCAAAGCTTTTACAGTGTCCCATTATGCTGGGGAGGTATGATTGGTTGTCTTCTTTCATACTCAATACACAGTTGTACAGTCTGTCTAGTGCCGAAAGTTGCTAGGAAATGATCTCTCTTGTTTTAATTTAATACTGCACCCATATTCCTAGATGCTTAACCCTTTTACTCCATCAACACTTAGGTTACCTATGATACAACTGCATTTCTGGAGAAGAATAGGGACTTACTGCACATGGACTCCATTCGGCTTCTGTCTTCATGTTCATGCCACCTTCCCCAGATATTTGCTTCAAATATGCTAGCTCAGTCTGAAAAGCATGTCGTTGGTCCATTGCATAAATCTGGCGGAGGGGATTCCCAAAAGCTCAGTGTAGCAACAAAATTCAAGGTACTTATTATGAGTATGCCTTTGGATACCTTGGTATGCCACAAGCTTGTGCATTTCCCAGCTAGCATTGGAGGACTAACCCTTGTTTCAGCTGTCTTTTGAGTCAATTTGGTGTCACTTTGGGTTTGGTTGCTAATGCTTCATAATGCACACAATTTTACTTATCAGACTAGATTGCTAGATATTTTGCTACCTAATCATTTACACACTTGGTGTTCTAGGGTCAACTTTTCCAATTGATGAAACGCTTAGAAAGTACCACGCCACATTTCGTAAGATGCATAAAGCCCAACAACAATCAATCCCCTAGATCATACAACCAGGGGCTTGTATTGCAACAGCTGAGATGTTGTGGAGTCCTAGAAGTTGTCAGAATATCCAGGTCTGGATTTCCCACTAGAATGACCCATCAGAAGTTTGCCAGAAGGTATTGAGAATAACTCGTTTTGTCTTTCCACATCGCTTCGAGTGCTCTATTGTTGAGTAAGATTGAAAAATATTTGCAAACAGGTACGGTTTCCTGCTACTGGAAAATACCATCTCGCAGGACCCCCTCGGTGTTTCTGTTGCCATTCTTCACCGGTTTGGTATCTTACCAGAGATGTATCAAGTTGGCTATACCAAGTTATTCTTCCGGACCGGACAGGTGAGAATTGAGATATAGATACCCTTTATATGAATGTGTGAAACTAACTTCGTCTATTTTGTGATTCCCATCACGAAAAGAATTTGAAAACTTATTATGCTCTGCACAGAGACATGAAGTCAATATCTTCAGCGTTCAGTTTTTCTACAAATCCAAACTTATAAGTGATAATAACCTAGAATCCTCATAAAGTGCAGTGCTTTGGGCATATAGATTTAGTCTTTTCAGCACATGTCGGTCCCGTTCTGAAGCGCCCTGCATTTGTTAATTGTATAAGTTGGTTTAAATCTGTGCAATTTTGCAGATTGGGATGCTTGAAGATACAAGAAATCGCACCCTCCATGGTGTTTTACGAGTTCAAAGCTGCTTCAGGGGTCACCAAGCTCGCTGCTACATGAGAGAGCTTAGGAGAGGAATAGCCACACTTCAGTCATGTAATGCCATTTCCCGTTTAACCTTTTTTTTACCTTGGATATCAGCGTTCTACCTGCAAGAGGCTTTGAAACTATGTTGAGAGGGAATAACATTTTTTTCTTTTTTGCATCTCTGGACAGTTATTCGAGGGGCAAAGATCCGGAAGGAATACTTAGTTCTACGAGAAAGACATAGAGCTGCTGTTGTTATCCAAAGGCAGGGGAAGACCATGATATGGAGGACCAAGTATAACAACATTCATCAAGCATCAATCTTGATACAGTCTGGTAACGCTTCATGATTTTTCCTTAACTTATTGTTGCACATTGGTTCACGACATGTTATTCATCCATAATTATCTTATCTTGTGATGTTCCTATTGCAGTTATTCGTGGATGGTTGGTTAGACGTTGCTCCGGGGATGTTGGGCTATTACTGTCCAGGGTCAAGGTGGTTACCTTTTTCTTCTTCATCTCTGCAAGAACTCTTGGATCTTATATAAACATCAGATCAACATTCGATTCACCTGAAAGTTTAGTCCTTTTTGTAACCTTTCTTTTAACCCTGTATTATCTAAACAGGCAGGGGAATGAGACAGAGGAAGTGTTGGTAAAAGCTTCATTTCTGGCCGAACTACAACGGAGAGTTCTCAAGGCAGAGGCCGGTCAGAGAGAGAAAGAAGAGGAGAACGACATCCTCCACCAGCGCATACAACAATACGAGAGCCGCTGGTCTGAATACGAACTGAAAATGAAGTCGATGGAGGAAGTGTGGCAGAAGCAGATGAGGTCACTGCAATCATCACTCTCGATCGCCAAGAAGAGTCTCGCAATCGACGATTCCGAGAGGAACTCCGATGCATCGGTCAATGCGAGCGACGAGAGGGACTCCACTTGGGACAGTGGCAGCAACTATCGAAGCCAGGAGGGTGGTAATGGGCTCAGACCCATGAGCGCAGGGTTGAGCGTCATAAGCAGGTTGGCCGAGGAGTTCGAGCAGAGGAGTCAGGTGTTTGGCGACGATGCCAAGTTCTTGGTAGAGGTGAAATCGGGTCAGGTGGAAGCGAGCTTGAACCCGGACCGGGAGCTCCGGAGGCTGAAGCAGATGTTTGAAAGCTGGAAGAAAGATTATAGTTCTAGGTTGAGAGAGACGAAGGTGATATTGAATAAGCTTGGGAGTGAAGACACTAGTGGTGGGGCGCTTGATAAAGTGAAGAAGAAATGGTGGGGAAGAAGGAACAGCACTAGGTATATTTGATGATAGATTATCTGTATAACTGTATAAGTAGTTAACTGCCAACTGATACTGCAATGGCTGCTCGTGATTGTGATGCGGAGTAAGCTTGGCGTGTAAGAAAAGAGAGTTTTCGTGGATCCCTTCAGCGAATCACTACTAGAGTAGGCTGGCTAAGTAATGTATTGACCAAACCACTTCAGGGAATCACTACGATGTATGTATATCATTCTTTTCCATCTTTAATAAGTACAAAGTGGGTGCTTCTCTATTTTCCTGTATTTTCTGTAAATTGTATTTATATTCTTGTGTTATTAGTGTTCATCGTTCATTTACATCGATTATCAACTGGAACTTCTACCACCAAAAGAATTCATTTTCAAGCTTCTATTATTTGTTTTCATCGTTGAAAAATGTTACCCTTCTACTTTAACTACAGAGAAAACTTGGGCACCAAGAAAAGTTAACAAAATAATTTGGCATAGAATGTAAGAAACAACGTATAACCCACCAGGCCCAACACCAGGTGCACTACAGTTTTGCGTTTGCATCATCACTACACCCTCAGCATCCAAACAAAACAGTTTGCTGTTTATGTAACCCCTTGTACAAGTAAGTATACCTAGTTTAGAAATGAAATGAAAAAACGAATTTGAGTCAGGGAAGGGATCCTATTTTTCTCTTGCCCTCCCTTCATTTAAGATGTTAATAAAATATCAGTCAAGAATGGTTGCAGCATCTAATCACACAATCGTCAATGAACTGGGCGAGCTGACCAGTATACAATTTCGGGTCACTACTGAAATGATCAACATGAGGCGTCGACACAAAGTTGCACGCTCTAACCTCGTGCCCAGCCTTCTTCTGCTTCTCTATGAATGATTCCACCGATCCAGCAGGGATCACTCTGTCTGCTGAGCTGTAAATGTACAGCTGTGGACACCTTGGTTGGTCCGAAGATAGCACACTCAGTATATCAGAGAGTCTCCTGCAACAGTCGAACCGATTGCAGCACTACATTTAGGTTCTCAGTTAATGGTTAACTAACTCATTGGAAAGAACTAGGCTAAGAAGTTTCAGACTCACTTGTTCACTGTAGGAAGATTCAGAACCACACCAAAGAACTTTTCCAGAACCACTTGCAGAGCTGCTTCAGTTAGTGCAGGCTTTGCTGGCTGGTTGAGCGATTTCACAGTGCCAACTCTAAGCTCCACATCCGAAATCGAATGCCCTTTCGTAGCCACACTGTTCTTCTTCAGAAATGCAGCACAGAATCCCGAAGCCCATACCTATAACACGAATGATGCAATCATCATTTGCTCATCAGAATCCCAAATCGCAGAAAGAACATCAACATTCAATTTGTAACCACAAAGCAAGCATCTTTTTACCTGTGGGTCAGGAGCTGCAACTGGTGCAGAATCCACAACACATGCCCTAATCCTTTCCACTAAGCTAGGATCTTGCTCTCGAAACTTCTCCAATATAGCTCCATAAGTCAACCATCCTGTATTGCTGAAAGTATGGAAAACAACGTTCTTCTTCTCCTTATTCTTCCCAGGCTCGTCGTCCAACCAATCGGCAAGGTGGTTGACTAGCAACTCCACATCCTGCTCAGCTTTACCCCCTACCTGATAGCTGAGAACCTCAGACATGGGGAATGTGTATGTAATGGCATGGAATCCCATTGAGGTATACCACTCAGCATACTTCTTCAGATGCCTCTGCTTCGATCCCAACCATCCCAGCAAAACTACAACGGTCCTAGACTTCGCGGACGAGCAATCCGAAGAGCCATTGACATCAATGGCATTAGGGTTTGGCAGGTGCCACCGGTACAGAACATCAGGGGTTGAGGAAGCCAGGGTGATCAATGGTGCAGAATGCGTAGGCCCTTTCGTCAGCTGCGCGGAGTTGTACAAATCCGCGAGGAGAGGCGAGGCAGCCACCCAAGAAGCTGTTGATGTGGCAGCATTAATGGGAGGCAAGCCTTGGGTCGAAACAGGGGCCAGGACGTTAACATTGGGGATTGGAACACGAATTCTGCTGACGAAGTTGAAATCTGCTAGCTTGGACAAGGAAGCACGAGAAGAAGCCCATGAGAAGCTGGAATCAGGAAGCGGCAACGAATGCAATTCGGCAGAAGAATCTTGCGTCGGTTTCAGAGAAGGCAATCTATCGGTGGAAACAGAGGCGACGGCAACGGCGGCGGCTGCTACCACGGGGCGGTGGAAAATTCCAGACAAAGAACCCATGTTGAACGAAGCCGAAAGACGGCAACTTTTCATAAGAAGACACCAATTCCGACGGGGGATCCGAGCTGCCACCAAATGGAAATGAATTGAGGGTCTGCAAGAAAAACAGGGGATGGAGATGTTTATTGTCCAACAACCACGGAAACGGAATCAATGCTTCTGGTGAAAGGATATTCAAATGGGGATATTGAATCTTTACCTGAGAAGGAAACGGAAATCTGGGAGGTCAAGCGAATTGACCTCCCACCTCGCCGCCGTCCTTCTTCTCAGTCAGCCACGTTGCACACCAGACTTTGTCGTCGGCCTGACCTCCGTTCCACCACGGTGGGCGGTGGTGGGACCCGCGGCTAGCCTGTAGATCGTCAAAGAAAGCGCACGTTCGTCATTAACCACAAAGAAATTAAAACGACGGTAATTAACATGAGGTTTCAATTAATTAATTCCGTGGTGGAGGGCAATGGACGAGAAAGAATAAAGCATAAGATGGCCAGGAGGAATCGAGGGTTGATGAGGTGGCGTAAGAACCCTACGACCCATGAACAACAGTGAGATTCGGAATTGAGAGCGACCCTGGAGCTGGAGAGGGCTTCTTTCTCCAACGAATTGGGAACGAAAACCCCACAACTCTAAAGCTTCAAATCTGTTCCCATTGCCGATGAAGTTTCAAACTTTTTGAGAAGAAACGGAAGAGAGAGAGAGAGAGAGCTCACCAGTCACCACCAAAGGAGGAAGATTGGAACCCTTCGAGCTTCAAGGTAGGGAAGGGGAAATGCAGCAAATGCAAAGCAATGAGGTTGAGGAACCGGAAGTTTTATCGGCAAACAAGAGCCCACAATACAATTGTGGAGGGAAGCAAATGGAGGAATGGAATAGGTCTCCTCCTTTCAGAAGGCCTAGCCTACCCTGTTTTTTATTCCCAAGAAATCAAATTGAAAGCAGAACAGAATAAACGAGTTGCACAGGTGAAGGGTAGAACTTAGAAGAGATCTAATTATATCCAAACGTAATACTCGGACCCCTTTCCCGTCGGCATACTAAAGGAACAAACGAATTTTCCAGAGCCAAAATTAGAGAGAAGCCATACAAGTTTCTTTCTTCTCCGTTCTCTGATTTGAATTTTGTCTTCCAGTGACGGAAAACAAAGTTGATGTATGGAATGGATGGGAACATGAGGTTAAACAGGATATGGAAGGTACATTCCTTGCCTAGTTATCCCTCTTCCAACCCAATCAACCATATCCACACATGTGAACTCATGGGCAGAGGCAAATATATAAAGTTATCCAAGAGCTGCATTGCATTCCACAAAGAAGATCATAACTAATGGAAAGGGCAGCAGAAGCAAACCCAAACAGAGAGACAAAATTGTTGATGAATTGAGATATAATATTAAACTTGAAGAAGTACAAAACCCCCTTCATTTGCCTCAAATCTCGATCTAGTATTAGACACAGCCCACATACAATTTTACAAATTGCATGATCGCATTGTAGTATTACACAGGATGTAACTCGCTTACTCTCCCTTATCCAAGTTCATTCATTCTCAGAAGTCAACCTACGAAGCACTTCCTTCACTTGCCTCTCAACTCCTTCCCGTAAGTACGAATGTGGCAACCGATCAACTACTTCCTTCCCAAAGGAGAACACGAGGGCCTTCCTTGCTGTGTCCAAGTCCACCCCCCGTGCCCTCATGTAGAACAGTTGATCTTCTTCCAGGTCGCTGATCGCAGCTCCATGGGAGCACTTCACGTCGTCTGCTATGATTTGGAGGTTGGGTTTCACATTCACGGTTGCTCGAGGCTCCAACAGCAGACTCCTTGTTAATTGCCCGGCATCCGTCTGTTGCGCATACCTGCCAGCCAAAACGCACATTCGTGACATTAATAAGACAGAACGCAACGGCTCAATTCGAATAAAAAGATCAGATACGGTCTCAACTGAATGTGGACTTACCTGTTAACCCTTACGTTCCCATCGAACACGGCTTGTCCCGAGGAGTGAGCAATGATGCACTTGTGAAGCTGTCGAGAATAAGCTCTTGGGTGGTCAAAGATCAGCCTACTGTGGAGATCCTGGGTTTGATCCCCTGCGGACAAATGAAAGGTTGAAACTTCTGTTTCCGTGTCGGGGCCTAACTGCTGAATGTGAAGATTGTGCCTGCTCAATTTCCCGCCACTACTTGCCTCCACGAGTTCGTACCTACTTTCTGATTCCTGCAAGTGGGCGGTCACCTTTTGTGTCAAACCGTATGGCAGTTAAATCTTGTTCATTCTCTGTTAAAGAAGGAGGTAGGTCTGGTAAGAAACAGAAGCATGGATGCATCAACTACTAAAGCACAATCACAAATCAAAGCGAACACAGATCATATATGCACTCTCATCTTGTTCTTTATTGCTTGATTTTGCAGCATCAGCTTAGGTCTCTTCCTGCATATATCATAGGCTAATGCCACCAGAGGGCAGACTTGGCAATTCTCCACATCTCTAATGCTGATGAATGATGATAGACACACCACAAACTTCCCAAAAAATACCATGTTTCACTGCCTTATAACTTTAGGGACCAGTAAAATACCTCCGGAAAAAGTAAAATTCAGTTGTATGTATGGACACGATTAAAGGGTCAACAATAACATGGGATTTCAAAGGTTCAAGATGAGAAGGGAATCAGCAGTCACCTTGACTATGCATTGTGATAAGAAATAGCTGGACAATTTCTTAGACTACTTGGATACCAAAAACCAAATTCAGCATTTGAGCACACTTTTTTTGAAGAAGGTGAGTGATTTTCATTAAATAGAAAGCATTTGTGCATACTTATTGGGCCATTTGAGCAGGGTATATGCACTTTTAAGCTCAGAAGAGGGTGTGTATCCTGGTTTGGCATAAGAAAACAGCAAAAATAGGACCTACATTTTCCACAAAACATGGTCACTCATCAAGGTGGCAAGTAAAGCTAAGCTAGCAATAGCCCTGGCTTCCAATGTTAAATGTTAAGGCCACAGGTCAATGCTGAAAACTACATGCCACCGGCAGCATATATAGCGCACAAAGCACCTTCCACATCAGCATGCTATTGTAGTGATTCTTAGCCAAAAGTGAAGAGATTAGGCTTACTAAATACTAATCCTCACACTATCTATATACTATACATAATCATTCGTAGGATTATCCATAAGCTCAGTCAAACAATGGGCTAATGACAAACTTCTCCATAAGACACACTGCATAATTCAGTCCTATCAACACAGTTGCATAAATGTGAGTAAAGAACAAGTACTGCACCTGCCTCACTGAAGTCCACTTGATGTGTGCAGAGTTGAAAGACTGATTCTGCACATAAGAATGTTTAACCTTTGCACCTTTGCCAATCACCACCTCCAAAACTGAATTACTCCAATAACATTTGTTTTCATTTCCCTCACTACTCACAAACTCTTCTATTATTCCAATCTCACCTCCATCTTCCACCACCACAAACACCCTAGGATTGGAAAGGGGCAAAACTTTAGATCCCCCCTCTCTCCCTTCAACAGATAAATACTTCAGATGGATTGGAGTCTCTACTCTAACCCCTGCAGGAACATAAATAACAGTAACATCCGGTGCCCCCAGCCCATTGAGGGACCAAAACATATCACCCCACTGAAAATCACTGAACAAAGAAGAAAGCTTTTCTCGAATCCCATCGGAAGAGTCACTCGATAAGCTGCCGATGAAAACTCCATCAGGCAAACTGGATGCACAAGGGATGGAATTCACCAGAAACCCATCAGCGATAAAGAGATGGGAGAAGTTGGTATCTTCAGACCCGGTTGCCAAATTCCCAACTTTAGGAGGTTGAGTAACTGGAAGGATTTGGGATTGCCTAATGAGTGAAGTATCCGTGAACCGAAATGCCTCATCTCTGCGAGAAGGCCAAGGAGAAGAGAGTAAAGATTCAGATGAGGTGTCTCTGAGATTCTGGAGGGAAGGGAGGGGGGAAGGAGAGTGGGAGTCCTCGAGGGTCTCGGCTAATTGGAGCACAAAAGGGTCGGAGAAGCCGATTTGGGTAGCCGGAGCTGCGGCGAGGGAGACGCTGGTCCTGAATTTGGGACGTGGTTGGCAGGGGAAAGATGCCTTTACAGATGTCGGAGTGCGAAGAACTACCGGTGTAAAAGCTAACACAGACATTGGTGTTTCCCACCTGAGAAGCTTTGCTCCCCCACCAGCGAATTGCGGGCAGTCGATGGCTTTGCTTACTTGCTGTGTTTCCCCGACGGAGGACCTCGAAATTCCAACCTTCAGGAGTAGGCTTGCTGGACGAATTCTCCTGCAGCGGTCAAAGAAGATTTGCCCGATTCATTTCATGGCTGCCGCTTGGTGGTCAACATTCAACAACCAGGAGTAGGCTCGCATGGCCGGTTTGTCCTTTAACGATAGGCAGTGCGTGGATTGGGCTTTTCGAGTTTGAAGCCCTGAAGGACCCATTCGCGGGTCCAACTAAGCAGCAAGAACAAGTGAACAACAGCAGCCAGAAAAGTGCGTTCCTTTCGTTTCACCCTTCGATCTCATTTTTACTTCGCATGAAAAGTGTTTTCTCCGACCGTGGGTCGACTCATTTGAATCTGGTCCGGTGAGAAAAACGGACCGTACGTAATTGTCTGGTCAACCGATACAAGGTACCGGATTGGAGGTTAAATTGTGTCTTTTTTCTTTGGTTTGCGAAATACGCCTATTTTTTGAATTTTCTTTTCGCCTAACTCAATCTTTGAAATCCTAAGTTGAACATTTGAATATTATCTTATATGTAATAGCAGACTACACTTTATTGCCACAAACTTCCAACTACTGTTTCATTATTTGGCGTTTAGTGGGATGGATCTTAAAAAGAGAGCTTCCCCTTAATTGACTTGCAGCCAACCCGACGAGCTTCTTCTTTTTCTGTTGCATCATCTATCTCAATTGCAGGTGGCAGGAGCCCATACTTTGAGTGTCCTGTGCTCCATCTCTTCACGGACTCACCCTAAAATCCACAATCACAAGCCACCGCTTTAGCCTTCTCTGTCCTGAGTCCTCGCACAGCTGCTCCTACACGCCATCGTCCATCCCTTCTGCTACTTTCTCGGCCAAATACATCTTCCACCCGTTCGTCCAAAAAAAGATACTACTGCTTTCCCGTACCATGCTTTCCGCCTTAAAGCAACTACTCATGAATGGCTCCTCCATACATTGGTCGGAAACCCAATTACCAGCGAAAGTTCCGTCGATGTTGTGTGGCCACTGGACAAGAGAGAAGCAGAAGAAGACTCTGCTCACCTTCCCTCCCGTCCCAATCGAATCTTTACTTCACCTTTTCACCTACGATACGTCATGTGGTTTTCGTTTGCTGATTTCAAATCCCTGTCGGCGATGGATGGGAGAAATCGGAAGAGGGAAAGGGTCGAGAAGGAGGGGGCCAGCATCTGCCATCAGCTGCGGGATCCAAACCGAAGAATAGCCGACGAGAGGCGACCAGGACGTGGACATGTTGATCGTGGCAGGGGAGGGTGATTTGATGGGAGGAGGGAGATGAGTAACAACCGGAATAGCTGGGGTAGAAGCGTTAGCCCCAACCGCAGTCGAAGCCAAAGTTGGAGCCGGAACAGGCGGTCTCAAGATAGGAGACCGAAGTCGAGGCCCGAGAAGTGGCCGTTGCTGCAGCAGGAGTCCGCACCGCTGCCGTAGCTACATCAGAAGTCCGGTTTTCCAGAGACGACGGCAGAGTCAAAATTCTTCCTCGGGGAACGATGGAAGGTCTGGAGGAAATGGTGTTCGTCGAGATGTGGTAGCATATAGTGTGCGTCCGGGGAGGAGATTTTAGGCCCCACAGCGGCCAATCTGGCGTGTGGCCGGAGAGTAGGGGGAGAAAGTATGGAATGGGAAAGGAAGAAGAGGCAGAGAGATAAGGGGGAGAGACTGCAGAGAAGAAGGATGATAAGAATGCTAAAATGAAGAAGGTTTATGTAATTTAGGGATTTGATAGGTTTAGGTAGCAGAGTAACCACTAGCCATGGAGGAAACGGTGAAGAAGTATCAAATGCTATTTAGAAGTATAAAGGGTGAAATGGAGAGATGGGAGAAGCTCTTCATTCCCGTATTCTTCTTCCATCGTTGAGAGTTTACAGGTGAACTTCTATCTTGCTTTGCTTGGTGCATCTCTGTAGCAAATTTGTGTGCTTGAGTTTAGTTCTCTGTTTAGTTTCTTTTAGACTAATTATTTCTGTGGACGAGCAGCCAAAGGTTGTGATTAATTCCCACAAAATGATGTCATTTGTGCTAAGATTCACAGCAATATTGGCATTACAGTTTCCCTGTTCAGTAAATAATGACACCAAATGTTCTATTGCAGATCATCACCCATCAAACATCCAGAAGCAGGTAGAGGAATATGCAGGTCTAAGGAAGAAGTCGATCTTGAACACCATGAATACATTATTGTTAGGGAATTACTCTCTAAAATTTGGTGCAAGTAGTATGCTACAAGACAAGGTTTCTTAGTGGGCTGTTTCCTAATGCAAACACATAGAAAGGCTAGAAATGCTTCTGCTGCAATTTTTGGTTTCTCTTTGTGTTGTTTGATTATGGCAAACACATTGAAACTATTTGTATTAATTAAGTTTGAAAAAGGGATAATACCACTAGGAAACCCGAACTATTAAGAATGTGTCATTTGTGTCCTAAAGTATCTAATATGACATTTGTGTCCCAACCTATTATAGTTTTGTGTCATTTATGTCCCAACCTATAATAGTTTTGTGTCATTTATGTCCTAACCCAAACTATTAAGAATGTGCCATTCGTTAAATACTAAAGGTAAACGCCGGTCAACTCTAACGGAAAAATAGTTTAGGACACAAATATCATATTGGATACTTTAGGACACAAATGACACATTCTTAATAGTTCGGGTTTCCTAGTGGTATTAGCCCTTTGAAAAATGATGCATTCATTTGAAGAAAAGGAATACAAAAGAAAAGGACACTTAAGTTGTTGCAGATGACACTGAAATCTTCACCTTTTGTGAACTGAGTCTCTTATTTTCCAGATAAAACGTTGCATTTGGGAAGGAGTACGCTCTTTCCATATCCGAAGTTCTTAGTTTTAAAATTTCTCTCAAAATGATCCTCTTAGTTCGCAGAGTAGTCAGTGATCATGCTTGCATTTTGTTGTACATGATACTCGATTAGAGTTAATTCGTTAGCTGAATGCATTAAGAACTTGGTTCTCTGAAGTACAGAAAATCTTGAATGAGAAAGAAAAATGAAATGTAGCCTCTGCAGCAGGCATTGTTTGTGCCATACATTGCATATAGGACTTCCATAGATTTCTTGGATGCTATTGTTTTAACCTATACAAATATTTTTTTGCTAAATTTATTGCTTGACACCCTTGCCAGTTGGTCATGTTCCCACCCAAGCCCTTCGCTGACAGATAATGTACAAAACCCAGGGACTGTCAAAAGGAAAAGAAAAGAATCAGACTCCCCACAAGTACCCGTGTACCATCCTTCACCATCCCTCTGACTTTGAGAGCATGAAAAACCAATTTTTGACCTTCCCTCTCCCTGTTGAATCCTTTTCTCATACTATTCCCAATCCAGTCACATCAATCCCAAATTTGGGGTTGAGAATTTGAGCCAATCTTTTTGGTTCCTTTTTACTGAACTATTAATTAACTTTAGTAACATGGGTATGGATTGATTTAACGTGTGATATTAATGAATCTGATTTGTAAAAGATATTTTCTCTGGGTGGTCTTAGTATTGAACTTAATAATCTAATATTGAGTAGAGTAAATGCATATGATTTACCTAAGTTTAAAGACAACTTTTTTGACAGAGTTGAATATGTCCTGATTTATGTTTTGTGAATAATTTTTATGACACACGGTGTATATAATTTATAATTATTTCCTGTTATTACTATCATATTTCTAAAAAGTACTACACAATTGTAAACAGATCCTGTGGCGTAGCCACGGGTATTGTTTCTAGTATATAAAAAAGCTAGCTACACTTTTTTCCTAAAGTTACTATTTCAATTTTTGTCTTTTAGTGAAGATGAAAAAACTTGCCATCTTACCCCATTCCTCACACACTCAAATATATTAAAAAAAATCTTTATCATTTGGTCAAAGATATTGTATGTATAACAAAGGGGAAGATTGCTTTGTTTAGCCGAATCAAACCGAACCGAGTAAAATAATTTTCTTGAAAATGAATCGTTAAGAGGTTAAAACGGTTCAATTTGATTTCAAGAAAATGAAACCTGAGGCTTAAGCGGTTCAATTTGATTTCAAGAAAATGAAACCCAAGGCTTAGTTGAATATTGAGTGTTTGTGTATTGGTTGTGATTTTATTTTTATTGTTTTTAGCTCTTTCAGTTTTGACCAAACAAAAAACGCTAAGCAGAAAAGGTTTGGGACCGAAACCAAAAAACGATAAGATCACCTTATCTGTTCGTTTAGTTGAAATTCAAGAAATTGAATCCGAACTGATAGTCCTATGTATGGCACACTTTGCCATCTTTCATTTTGGTCTTCAGATTATCCAGAATCTTAATTAATTGATTTTTTCATTGTTGCTATGAGGGAAGTAAACATTGATGATGAATTCATTTTATTTTTATTACAAATTAGGTCAGGTGTCAACTACTCTCAGGAAAACTCTTTGTGTGGTTGGGTTAAGCCATTGAAAATTAGTAATCGTGAATAGGATATCACAGATAGAGGATATATTCAAGTTCTTTAGGTTTGATAAAAATGTAGTAAAGAATTAACTGAACTTTAGTGAGGATGAAAGGGTTTGTCATCTTACCCCATCCCTCACATACACTCAAATATATTAAAAGAAAAAGTCTTTATTATTTGATCAAAGTTGTTGTATGTATGACTAGGATGGGAAATTGATTTGTGAAACTAAATCGAATCGAATATAAAAACCAAAAAATTTGAACAAGTAATATCCTTAAAAATGAACTATTAAGAGGCTTAAACAGTTCAATTTGATTTCAAGAAAATGAAACCTGAATGAATTTAATAATGAGGAAAATTCATATGCTAATATATGTTGCTCACTATGCACATCTTACTTTCTTTTTCCGATTTACAACGTGGTCTTATTAGTGGTTGTTGGTCATGAAACTTAGTGCTTTATATTGCTTTGGATTTGGTCAATTTGTTCCTCTGTTCAATTGTTAAGTTTTGCTACATATATAAGTGATTGCTACAATTCTATCATTTTGCTTCCATCTTTACTTGATCGGATTTGTTTATCCAACGAGTTAACTGGTTGATAGAACTTGGATCCAACAAATTATATTATGAATGTTCTTTATTTTATCTTAATAAATTGGACTTGCAAGAGACAACGATTAGTGGTGTCTTAAGTTGTATGGACAATGAGAAAAAATTATTTTTTTTGTTAGTGAATTAGAGGTGAGGTGTTGTACATGTTA